ATGCTTCTCTATCTTTTGTTCGTAACTTGCTGCATCTTGCCGAGAACAGACGCTGTTCAAGGTCCTCAGTTTAATGCCAGGCCCCATGGAAAGCGATCCACTCAATCGGTAATGTGAATTTCTCTTTAACTTTCAAACCTACTTAGTGCTGTTTGATCAAATACCGTTTAGTTTTGCGGAGTGTTCCTTGGGCTTCCTGATATTTACACTGACCGGTAAAAAGCTCAAATGAAATCACCACACTCTTTGAATTTAGATTCATCTAAACGTTATGTATCATGTATGTGATGCAAAAGCAGTAGAGTCCTATTTATGGCAAAAACAGCAAGAAGCTTACCACAGTTGATTGTTAATTTTCAGATATCGAAAAGAGAAAGAAACATCCGGGACATCTGTGCCGCAATGACTGATGCTTGTAAAAGAGGAACAGAAGGATTCCAAGCAACGCCGGAAATTTAAAAGAAACTAATTGGACGAGGAGCAGAATGTAAAGAAAAAAATAATAATGTAAATCGCCTTAATATACAAGTGTAATATTAAAAGTACTGGAATGTTTATTAGATTGTGTCATAACGTCTGCATTTAGAAGAAATTTACATTTCCCGGATTTATTTTGATGTCGTACTTTGATCTTAACCTAACTTTTCCTTACTAAACGCATAAAATTGACGTAATGTTCTATATCGCAACACCACAGTCAAAAAATACGAAATTGAATGACTCGCCAAATCCTCACAAAAACGATACGCGAACGATAAATTAACATTAGACAAGGTTTAATATGATCGTGGAGTTAAATTTGAACCTAAATGGAGACAAGCCCTCAGTGTAAGCACAATGAACCTCTAAAACAGACATTAGCTAATGTACCCGGAAAAATTATAGCCCAATATGTATCTTGAATAATATAATGAACTTCAAGGCTGAAATCTTTTTAAAGCCATAATTATTTAAAATAATACTGAATGGGTTCTAAATTACATATTTTACCCAAAAAACTTGACAGGGAAACGGAAACACAGAGACGTTTACAAATATTACTTAGTGACATTCTTACACCTTGTGCATGAAAGAAAAGCCAACAATGAACAATACAAGATACATAACGCTAAGATAAATTTAAATTCCAGTGGTTTGGTGGTTCTATCTGTTCTATTTTT